ATTTCCCCATCCTCATATATTTGCATATGTACATGTCTTTATCTAGACATCTATAAATGCCCTTTGTCTCCCAGCTCTTTCCTCTGTTTCCCTTGATTTTCCTCCAATTCAGGAGGCTTTTTAGTCAAGGTCATAGCACTTCAAATATGTTGGGCAAAATTAAGGTCTTCAAATTCCCAAAGATGTTAATGTAGCTACTGAGACAGCAACACAGTGCCCTCATAACCCAGGATAGACTTGCATACATTTCATTTAAAAAGAAGTTGCACTACACAGAAGATAAAGGGAATATTATAAAATTTATTTGTTATGCATAATTTACTCTGTTAATTATTATGCATTATAAGACATGGAAAATTAAGTCACTTTCTAATCTAATCAAGAAAATTTCTTCAGGGAAAATTTATTTCCAGGTTATTGAAATTTCTTTCGAACCAAGTTAACTTTTTAATGCACCCAAACCAGTTAACACTGTGCTAATGAACCAAAGATGTGAATTTTATCTATGTAATAGCAAATTAGCAACCCCCAAATACATATCATGTCCAGAGGCTTCAGCCTGAATCTTGGCTGTCTATTTACAAGTCATTGATCACTTCGCCAAAAGCGATGGATGTCTTTTGAAAAAAAAAAATTCTGTTAGCAAAAGCAGAAAAAAATATTTTTGAAAGCTCGATATTTCCTCTGAAGGTCGCGGGTGAATAATCCAGGGATATTAATATTTTACTAAAAAATGAAAAATTATTGGACATTATGCTTTATGGCCTATCATTTAAAAAGATGGCTTTGTACCAATGACAATAACGAAATTATACCTCATGCATTCTGTCTGAATCTGGAGCAAAAGGCTTGGAAAACTTTCTTGTGGGTGAACTATGAGAAGAAGTTACTGAAGCTTTAGCTGAGACGTTTATTACTCCTAAAAAAGAAGAGATAACTTTCAATATAATAAAATAGTGCAGCTAGAACAAAGATGAATATCTAGTGAGTCCAGGTGTCTCCAAGTTCTCCCGATGAAGCTGCTAGAGACTGGAATGACCACAACTGGGCGCTTTTATTTATTTATTTTTTTAACGTTTTTAAAAAATCATACAACTCTTATCACAATCCATATTTACACATCAATTGTGTAAAGCGCTTTTGTACATTCATTGCCCTCATCATTCTCAAAACATTTCTTCTCCACTTAAACCCCCAGCATTAGGTCCTCATTTTTCCCCTCCCTCCTTGCTCCCCCCTCCCTCATGAGCCCTTGATAGTTTATAAATTGGTATTTTGTCATATCTTGCCCTGTCCAACGTCTCCCTTCACCCACTTTCCAGTTGTCCGTCCCCCAGGGAGGAGGTCACATATAGTTCCTTGTGATTGGTTCCCTCTTTCCTACCCACTCTCCCTCTACCCTCCCTGTTTTGCCACTCACACCACTGGTCCTGAAGGGCTCATCCACCCTGGATTCCCTGGATTTCCAGTTCCTATCTGTACCAGTGTACATCCTCTGGTCTAGCCAGACTTGCAAGGTTGAATTCAAGTCATGGTAGTGAGAGTGGGGAGGAAACATTTAGGAACTAGAGGAAAGTTGTATTTTGTATCGTTGTTACATCACACTGGGTGCTTTTATTTATATGAGTACAAGCAGGCTGACATTTTCTGATGTTCTTGGTCTACAGATGTACAATGTTTAACCACTTACTTTCGGGAAAATCCTGATATTCTTAACTTCTGATCCTTGTTTAATTTATTCTACCGACCGAGTCTCCTGCCACTCCCCCAGCTCATTTGCAGAATAAGATGCTTGTATTCAATCAGTAGTCCATGAGAAACCACCGAGGAAATGAATGGGGAATCACCAAAGCTGTACTTTAGGAAGGTTGCTCTTACAGGGAAATGTATGGATTAGTAAAAGAGAGAGAAGGGATTGTAAGAAACGATGTAATTTTCAAGGGTAGGAGCCAAAGGAATCCAAAAGAGAGGAAGACAAAAGAAATCCAGGAGATATGTTACACAGAAAAGGGATGCTTTCTGATGCAGAGTACAAGAAAGACAAAGAGTCAAAGACGAGTCAGGGTTTCTACCTGTGCACATCAGAACATTAAGCAACGAGGACTCTGGCTTGGTGTATAATCCATTCGAGGCGTCTGTTTGCGAGGCGTGGGAAGATGTCTGTGGCTCTTTAGCAGGCTATGGAAGGCATCCAGGACGCCAGCCAGAGAGGAAAGGACTTAGATAATGTCTAGTCAATTCCAGAAAAGGTCTGAAACAGGAGGATGTTTTCCAGGAGGAAAGATGGTTACCGTCCTGAGGAGAGTACTTTGAACTACAGCATACCAGAAACTTACTCTATCCTTCCAGACAGGTACCACAGAGGCACTAATTTCTCCAGACTCCGCAACTCCAGAAAGCATACAAATTCAGTACGCCCCAAATCAAACCTGCCGTCGGTTCTTTTTCATTGAGATCCTCAGAGCAGAGTAAAACTGCCCCATAGTTTTCAAAGCCGTAGATATTTGCAGCAGTAGACTATCGCTCTCTCCTGTGGTTCAGCTGGTGGGTTGACCATTTGAAAATATTATATAATTTTATAGCTTTTTATTTTCTAAAACAAGAAATTTTATAATGAGGTAAAACACATCTTTTGAAAAATATATAAGATGAAACCATTTACTTGACAATTTTCAGAAACAATTATAAATATTTTTCATTTTCTTACCTTTATCATAAAAAGTACTTGATTTATAAGTTGTCATTCCATCATTCTGTACAGTATAACATGCAAGAGAAGAACATTCCTGTAATTACATTTCTGGATAGAGTTACCTTCTATCAGCCAACCAAAGGAAACATTCATTATTGTTCTGGTTTTCCTTCTAGCCTCTAATTCTCTCACAGAAATTGTCTCAAGGGCAGTGCATATTATTAATCTCCTACTAAAGAACTTTCACAGGTAGCTCAAACCTAACTATTAAAACCTAAACTTAATGTAGCAATGTATAACTGACTCCTGCTTAGCATTTCATATTTTATTTAAAGACATGGTGGTCCTCTCAGTATTGCCTCTTAGACGGTCATTCAATTTGTTTCAGAGAAATTCAGTCTAATCTAATCCAATCCAGTGATCACTGAGCACACTCACTAGTTAGACAGAAAATAATGTCTCATGATAAAATATTATTTTATTGTAAAGATAATTATGTCATAGTTTCCTAGACAATGGATGTTTCAAGAGATATGATTATCTTATATTTGTATCCAAAGTGACCAAATGTCTTCATATCATTAGCACAGGCCCGGGGCAACTGTAGATACTCCATCAACATTGGCTGTTATTATAAGTAAAATTATACAATATCCATTTGAACTACTTCCTGTTAAATTTCACAAGACTTTTAGCATCAGAGCTAAATCCATCGCGGATAGGAACCAATCTCACATTCAGATCCCAGTAGTATCAAGGAATCAGTTCCATTCTAGAGAGAGAGAACCTCCATAGAAGTAAAAGCTAACAAGATAAATAATGATCATATCCAATGTTTGAAATAGCACTTTATACCTTTTGTTCTGTACCATTATCCTCTATATCTGGGTGATAAAGGACTGAAGTTCCTGATCTTTTGGAAAGATTCAATGAGCTTCGTTGACAATGGGAAACGTTATTTGTTGTAAATCCTAAAAGTAAAAGAAATCTCATCATTTAAAACAACTTTATTGATTCAACATAATAGCCTACTATTCCCTTATTGAGTTTTTTTGGTTTGCTATTTCGTATGTCTGATTCTTGAAAACAAAATTGATCATATTGTCTGGCTGGGTGTTCAATGAATATAGACAGAAAACATAGGATATTTATAATAGTAAGGGGTGGCAAGGGGCATATATGTAGTACGTTTTCTACATTCCACTTAATAAGGTAAACAGTAGATTGTGTGACATTATATCTAGTGTAATTGTAGAATACCTAAAAATCTATGCAAACAGATAAAGTAAAACTTTCAAAATGAATCCTCTGCTAGTCATGCATACTGGAATCAAAATTTTAAAACATGTTACCCCTCACCCCAAATAAAGTATTTATGTATAAATACAGAATAACAAATATAGCATTTATGGGCTAAAGCCTATAAAGTACTAATAAAAGAAAGTAAAGCAGACTGAAATACATGAAAAGACATACCATGTTCATGAAACGTGAGATCCAGATCCCTACATACCTTTTTTTCTCTTTAAATTGAAGTGTAGTTTCAGTGAAATATCATTTTAAAATCCGAGGATAATTTTTGTATAGATACGGATTTTATAGTAAATGCTTAATGAATTAAAATAGCTATCTCACAATTTTGAGAGAAAAAGATAAAGTTGGTAGAATTGCATTATCCAATTTTCATACTTAATACAAATCTAACTACAATACAAATTTGTCATGTGGGAGCACTATGAATAAAAATCAACATGACAATAACTAACAAAAATAATAATCTAATCAAGGCGAGTTAGATACTGTCAAAGGAACAGACACGTAGATATATAAAGCCAAAAATTAAAAGACAAATGACAGACTGGTAGAAAATATTTGTGTATATCCAGAACATATAGACTAGTCACAAATCAACAGCAAAAGCCCCCAATTTTTAAAAAATATTAAGTGAGCACATTACTAAACCGGATTTACAAAACGCAGAGAAAGAACACACAAAAAAGATTATATTCTTAGTCATCAGATACATACAAACTAGGCCACGATGAGATGCCTAGTAGAATTGCAAAAAAACAACAAAACCAACCGAAGAGCTCACGCACAGACAATATGAAGAAACGCCGGTGGTGCACACATGGGTCACCAGGAGTCAGAGCCAACTAAAAACAACTGTTTGCTTTTCAAAATTTTGTTTTTGTAAATAGTTTGGCAGTTCCTTGTAAACTTAAACTTAAAAATAGTTTGGCAGTTCCTTGTACACTTACTATACCCCAAACCAGTTATATCGAGTTGATTCTGATTCATGGAAATCTATGTGATTCCATATGTCCCAGAATTCTCTTGTTCATGTGCTTGTACAATAAAGATAAACAACATGCTTCTATTGAGCCTATCCATAATTGCTAAATCCTGTTGTGAAAAATCCAAATTTCCCTCAATTGTTGGATGCATTAAAAAAAAAAAAAACCTTTGCAAGGAAGAAGAAAATGTCCTAGATTTGAATGTGGTGATAATTGTACAACTCTTCTTGGTATGACTGAATTATTGAATTGTATGATATGTGGATGAAGTGTTAATAAAATTAGTTAGAAAAACCCTCTAACACACATATACAATGAAACAGTATTCAACAATATAAATGGACAATCATTAAGTCATGTAGTAGTTGCAGTTATAGGCAATCAAGAATAAATTTTAATTAAAATGATTATGCTGAATGACCAAAATCCATCCTCAAAAGGTATATGATTCTATTTATGTAACTTTTTCTTAAGGGTATTGAAGATCAGGAGATATAAGTGAATATATATTATGTAACAGTATATATAATATATATACATCCTATAAGTTATGTTGAGTGAAAGAAGCGATCTTAACAAGATTAAATACTACTTGATTTTATGTAATAGTATCCTAATAGGATATATGTATATGTATGCACATATATATTGATCCCAACGGATCTTCCAGCATCACAGTAGCACACAGCATGGCAAACTCTATATACCACTATATATCACCATTGGTCTTTCAGTGTGCCATGCCAGGTGCTACTCGGATGCTGGAAGATATGTCACTGGCATTTCAAATACCATCAGGGTTACCAAAAGGGAAAAGGTTTCCGTGGAGTTTCCAGATTAAGAACAGACAAGAAAGGAGTCAGCTTCCCACTTTTGAGCAGGAAGTCACTTATAAATTTATGCATAGGTTTGAAACATTGTCAGATCCTGAAGGCTTGGTGAAGGAAAGCAGAACATGAGTAGAGGTGGTGCCAGATGATGGGTATCTTTGTTAGAGGACGTTCAAAATGTGACTGAGGAGGAGCTGGTTTCTTGGAGAGGAGTCCACCGCGGGGATGTGAGTCAGGTGAAAACCGTCAGCCTTTGGGATCTTCATTTGCTCGTGGGACAAGACTCAAGGTAAGGAGTAAACAGCTGCAAACATTTGCTGATGATTGGAACATGGAATGTGCGATGGATAGGTCTATGATAATTGAAAGTGTCAAAAATGGCATGGAATGTGCAAAGATTAATAGCCTAAGCATTAGTGAGCAAAAATGGATAAGTATTGGTCATTTTGAATCAGAAAATCATATGATTTACTTTGCTGGGAACAGCATAAGTAAGGGGAATGGCTTTGTACTCATAATCAAAAAGGCTTTAAAAATCAATCAAAGTACAATCCTGTGATAGGATTATCTCTATTGCATGCAATCAAGATTCACTGATAATTATTGCTGATAGGAATGCAAGAGTTAGGAAAAAGGAAGGAACAGTAGTTGAAAAATATGGGCTTGGTGATAGAAAGAAAGCTGGAGATCGCATGATAGAATTTTGCAAGCGGAACCACCCAAAGGCAACTGTACTCATGGACTTATCTAGATGGACACACAGAGATAAAATTGACCACATCTCTTGGAAGAGATGGGGAAATTCAATATCATCAGCTAAAACCAGGCCAGGGGCTGACTGCAGACCAGCGCATCCCCTGTTCAGATGTAAGTTCAGTTTGAAGCTGAAGAAAATGAAGACAAATCCAGAAGAGCCAAAACATGACCTTGGGTCTAGCTCCTCTCAATGTCAAGAACATCTCAAGAACGGACTTGATGCATTGAACACTAATGAGAGAAGACCTGATGAACTTTGGGAGGACATTACAAACATCATTCATGAAGATAGACAAAAGGGCCCTAAAAACACAGGAAATAAAGAAAAGATGAAAGTGGATGTCAGAAGAGACTCTAAAATGCAATCGTATATTCCCCAAACCAAATGGAAGAAATGATGAAGTCAAAGAGCTGAATATTTCAAAGGGAAATTTCAAAGGGTAGCTCAAGAAGGCAGAATATTATACTTAAATGTGCAGAGACCTAGAGTTAGAAAACCAAAAAGGAGGAATACACTCAGCATGTCTTTAGCTGAAAATACAGAAGAAAAAAAGTAAGCCTCAAGTTGAAATATTGAAAAATACTATGGGCAAACCATTGATGTTTAGGCCGAATTCAGGTGAGGATATGGAACGGAGGATATCATTGCTGATGTCAGATGGATATTGGCTGAAATCAGAGAATACCTCAGGATGTTAACTTGTGCTTTATTGACTATAATAAGGCATTCAGCTGTGTGATCATAACAAATTATGTAAAACCTTGGGAATAAAGAGAATTCCAGAAAATGTATTTGAGCTTATGTGGAGCTTGCTCAAGAGGTAGTTTGGGGAACAGGACAAGTAAATATTGCATAATTTAAAATAAAGAAAGGTGTGCATCAGGGTTGTATCCACTGACCATATTTATTCAAACTGTATGCTGAACATATAATCAGATATACTTGACGATAAGAAGAAGAATGTGGCATCAGGTTTAAAGGAAGGCTTCTTAAAAGTTGTCAAGAACTTCATCTTGCTTGAATCCACAGTCAATGTTCATAGGAACACTAATCAAGGAATCAAATGCCACGTGTTAGTGGGAAAATCTGCTGCCACAGACCTCTTTAAAGTGTTGAACAGCAAGCCCCTCTGAGGACTACTAGGCCCTGATCCAAATCTCGATACTTTCAATCACTTCATATGCATGTAAAAGTTGGACATTGAATAAGGACAACTGAAAAAGAGTTGATGGACGTGAATTATGGTGCTGGTGATGAATATTGAAAATACAATGGACTGTCAAAAGGACAAAAATGTATTGTCTTGGAAGAAGTATAATCAGAATGACCCTTTGAAGCTAGGATGGTGAGACTCTGACCCAAGTAGTTTGTACACATCATCAGGAGAGACCACATCCTGGAAATGGGCCTTGTGCTTAGTACAGTAGGAGGTCATCAAAAAAGAGGAAGACCTTCAAGGAAACAGATCGACACAGAAGCTTCCCCAAAGGGCTCAAACATAACAGCAATGGTACAGATGGTGCAGGACCAGGTATCCCTGTGTCTCTCCAGTTATTTTAACTCAAGACTAAGCCAAATGACATACACATGGAGTATGCAATTTTGGACTTGATTTTCTTTAGATTTCAGCTGACAAAAACCAAGAGATCAAACTTTTCTACTTTAATTTTTTTTTGCTGAAAATTTTACAGTGAGAGAAAGTTCACATTGTTTTATATATGATTATACTATTAGTGCATCATTTCAAAATGCTTCTGCTCTCATTTCAAGTAAAGCCTAACCTGGTGAGCTCTAATATATAGCACGGAGTGGTAGAATATGAGACACACAACTTTTTAGTAGGTTCCACAGTGGCTTTGGGGTTTATGTATTTAATTTCTAATCCATTTCAGAGTTTTATAAAATCACAATGAGCATTAAATGAGAGGAGATGGATTACAATTTGTCACACTTCATGTATATTGTGCATTTAACAGCAACATCCATTCATCTAATTTTTCTAAAACATTGTATAATGTCAAGTTAAAAAAAACTAGGTAATAACTATGGAGTTGTTTTCAGAAGACAATAGCAGCTGTATCATTGCTGGTAAACATCATGCAAAATCTGTCATTTGACAAAAGAGAACAGAGGATTTATCTGTATTGGAAGCAAAGCAAGGCATCACCAAACTCAGTGTTTCCTCGATTACTATTTAATATTTCTTAGTACAGGATGTAATTACCATTTGCTCCATTAGGTCCGGAAAACACTGACTTTCCATCACCATTATTCTTCTTTTTGTGTGAGAAAGAAGCTGAAAGAAGCACAATGTTTATTTTTAATAATTATGATGACATTTACCCATGTAGACTCTATTTATTCATCTCTGCTTGACAGCAGGTGAACTAATCTATATGTGAGGTTGTGAGGAGGATTTGGAGAGAATAAGAGATATGCAGTCAGAGAAAGGGAAATTACTCTTGAAATAGGGTCCCTGCAAGTCAAAAATCATAGTCGGAGGGTCAGCATTTTTTTCCAAAAGAAGTGACAAGCTGTGTGCCGCACATGCCATTGCTCCTCTGTTGGCATAGACACTGGCATGTTGACTGACTACAGACTCACCAGCCCCAAATGACGAGGACCATTGCAGGGTGTGCCTTATGGCGAGGACTAAACAACTATATACACATAGCTCTCTTTTGAGACTTCTTTCACCTTGCTATGAAAATTAAGTACATTTATAACCACTTCTTACACCCCCTCCAAAAAATAATAATTTGAGGTAGCAACTGTTTAAAATGTGTACTTGGAACATTTGTCCACTTAGATGTGAAAGTTACCACTAGAAAATGGAGGGATGTATATAATTGCTAAAGTGATGGTTTTGTCTGAGGACTGGAATTGCTGCATCATTACCTCAATACACTGGAAAATGGGAGTTTACAAAGCAGCAGACAACTTGGTACAAAAAAATATGCAGTGTATTAAGCATGGTAGAGTCCTCTATGTGTTCAAACACATCCAATTATGGTTATAAAATTTTTTTTAAAACACCTAAAACCAAATAAACTTCATGATGAGTCATGTGAAGTGCAGCTTTAAAGGTTACAGAATTAGATGAATATGGTGAGCAGATTATTCTGTGTCTAGGAAATGGTGAAAGACACACAGAAATAAGAAAGGTTAAAGAAAAAAGAAATAAGAAAGGTAAATTCTTTCTTAGGAATGATCAACAGTCCAGTTTGGACAACTAAATAAACTTAATGCTTAATCGATGCTACTAATTGTTAGACTCTTTGTAGAAATTATCTAGAACTATTATCTTCCCTTTCAGATGAACAAAACAGTGACTCAGGGAGGACAAGATCTCTGTGTAAGGTCCTGGTGCTGGTAGTTGTCAGTCTGAGATGCACAGCAGAATGAGCACCACCCGGCCCTGCGCCATCCGCCCAGTGGCCTTATGCTTGAGCCCACTGCTGCAGCCGGTGGTCCATCTCACTGAGTGCCTCCCTTTTTTGTTGCCAAGTGCGAGGCCCTGCTCCAGGGCTGGCTCTTTCCTGAGAGCATGTCCAAAGTGCATTAGATGAAGTCCCCCCATCGTTGCTGCTAAGGAGCACTCAGGTTGTACTTCGAAGATAAAAATCACGTTGTTAATAGTAAAGCAGGATTTGCACTTCAGAACTGTGTTTCCAGAGCCGATGCACATCAACCTGCAACCTCTTTAGGGGTGTAGTTTGAAAGCTAGATATGAGGTAGTTCCTTTTATTAGCTAAAGGGAATCTTTAAGCTTGTTTGGCAGAGGGGGAAAAAACCCATCAGAACTAAGCTTTAAGTGTAATTGAGTAGTGATGTGCAAATGAGATTTGAGGTAATGAGTAATAATAACCAGGGGATACTAGTTAGGAATTTACTAGAATGACCCAAAGATGATCTGGTCTAGAAACAGGCCTAATGAGACATCTATGGTAAACACACTACAGCTGCAAGAAAGGTGATAATATTTTTTCTGATATTACATAGTCAGAAATAGATTTTTCAAAAAACTATAATCTGTACATTCTGGCTGTAAAAATTCCACTGGTATCAGGGCTGGGAGAGCTCCATGGTCTTCTAAGGCTACCGCACAAGTGTTTACATTATTGCTTTTTTTTCCTTCCCCCCTTGCTTTGCCTTTCTCTACAATCTTCCATTCCTTCTTCTCGTTCCTTTTTTCAAGTTCCGCTTATGTGTATTGATTATAAATAAAGGATATGTATATTAGTATATAATAACAATTGTCTTATACATACTTCTTAAAGTTTCCATGGGGAGGAGGGTTGAGGATTATTTTAAGTACAGGAAAGTTGGTTAGAACTGTACTACATACAAGCGTGTCCACTGAGTCAATTTATATTATTTCAGTTTGTTAGTATATTTACAAATATGTCTATTTTCAACTTAAGCTATAGTGAGAAATGCCTAGCATAACTCCTGGCACAAACAAGGTAGCAGACATTAAGCAAAGAAAGGAGTTTTATAAATCCACTACCATATAAATACTGAAATAAGTATCTTCTTCCTTCAATTTATTGTTTTTGATATTCTTACCTTCATAATGTGTCCCATCTTGTCCTCTGTCGACTGTATTTTTTTCTATATCCTCTCTTCTATGTTCAAGCTCCTGAATTTTCTGTAAATGATGAGCCATTTTTTTCTCTAGAAGGGCTTGTTTCTGAAATATTTTAGAGTTTTAGAAAAGATATTGGTTATTCCCAACTCTCTGCTTAGAAATGCAAAGCGTATTTAAAATATGACAGTATGTTTAAAGTGAAAAAACACTGGAAATCAGTCGTGTATGTAAGATAACACTAAATACATTTTGATGTGGTGATAGTCAGGGGTAAACTTTCATTTGTGGTCAACCAAGAAGACCCTACCTAACACTTAGATGTAACTGATGTCACTAAACAATTGGTTCCATTTCAGATGTGATAATGCATCTTAATACGTGGCTATTCGAGGGAGTTTAGGCAATTCCTCAATTACCTTTAATTGTAGGATTCCTCAGTGACAATAATTAGTTAATCAAGTCTCCCGTGAAGCATAACATTTATTAAATATGACTTTCTTTTGTAAATTTCTATATATCTGTCTTAACAGGACAGAATTACACCGAAAAAGCAAACAAGCAATAAACAAAACCAGGGTTGCTCAGAGAAGTCCGTAGTGTAGTTGCTACAGCCAGGAGCAGCACATTAATAGGAAGATTCCTAGGGCCCAAAAGAAAACTGGTCTAAAGGCAAAATAATTCATACATAAAAAGCTGAAAGAATGTATCACAAGCAGAGCTATAAGCAAGAAATACTCTTAAAGGAAACTCTTCAGATAGGAAAATGTATGCCAGAAATGTGGTTCAACAAAAATAAATGAAGAGCATTGGAAATGGTAACTTTAAAATCAAATTCATATAACAATTTTCCGTACTATTTAAATCTCTTTAAAATATGAATGTTTTAAAAGATTTGATAATGCATCGAAAGAGCACCAGTGGGCTAGTGGTTACTTATTGGGCTGCAGTCTAAAAGGTCAGCAGTTCGAAACCAATAGCAGCTCCATGGAAGAAAGACAGGGCTTTCTACTCCCATAAACAGTTACAGTCTCAGAAATGCACAGCGACTTATCGTCCTGTACGGTCAATATGATTCAGTATTGAGTTTATATCAGTGTTTGTTTTTGTTTGTTTGGAGATACGTAAATAGACTTCTAGGAAAATGGCAAACTAGGCAGACACATTACAAAAACCATTCTACAACAAAAACAAGAAATACCAAAGATAATCATGGAATGCTGAATAGAAAATGTATTGAATATGAATGAGGAAAAGAAGCTGAACCAAAACAATGAGAGAGCAGGCAGCTGGGTGAACAGCTTGCTGGATGAACACTGTCTAGCCATCGTAAAATTTTATAAGGAGCATTTGTCAAGACAGAGGTTTGGCATACTTATGGCTGGAAACAAGAAACTTTGTTCCTCACAACTTCCTGTTGACCAGAAAGGTGGCCAGCCTCACCCTTCCTGCTCGGCAGTCCGGCTTGGCCTGAGGTTGAAGCTGCACTTAGGTGGATCAGATTCCGGGTGCATCACCCACGAGTAAAATGCTATGTGGATCCCACTTCATTAGACCAGCAGAACCCACAGCCTAATTCCTCGGCCACGCCTTTGTGGGCACTAACTCCTTCCATAGTCTGCTGCCTATAGACCCAGAAGAATTCTTCTGGGCATAAGAACACCGACATCAGTCAGCACCAGCTGAGCCAGCATGAACTATTTCTGGATGAGGCTTCCTGACCCCAGAGAGCGGATAGGCCTGCCGAAACTGCACTGAGGACCGGCATCCCACACCAGAAGATGCTAACTCTGCCCCTCACAGTTTTCACCTTTATTATTTTTTTGTTGTTTTTCATTTCCATGCCTTTGTTTTTAATCTTTTCTATCCTTTTACCTTCAATTTTTCCTTTCCTTTTTCTTCTTCCTCTTCCCCAATTTCGCTAATTATATTCTTTTCTTTCCTTGATTTCATTTTTCTTTCCTTCTTTCTCTTTTTATTATTAATGACTTTCTGGCTGTTATTTACATACTTTTCTATGCTGCATTTTTAAAAATTATTTTCATGTGTGATTTTTTCTTCTTTGTTTCCTCTTTTTGGTTGTTGCTGTTTTCTTGTCCCATTTTATACCCATAGCCCTAGCAAATTTACCTATTTGTTTTTATTTAAAGATAATTTTATCAGAGGCTCTTAAAACTCTTATTGCAATCCACACATCAATGGTATCAGGCATGTTTGTACATAGGCTGCCATCCTTCCTTTCTAGACATTTCCTTCTATTGAGCCCTTGGTATCAGCTCCTCTTTTTTTTACCTCCCTTGCCCTCCCCCTTGTGGCCCCTTAATAGATTATAACTTATTATTATTTTCATATCTCACACTGACCGCTGTCTCCCTTCCCCTGTGGTTTCTGTTGTTCTTCCCCCTGGAGGGAGGTGTGTGGTTATATGTCCATCATTGCATCCGTTCTCCCTTTCTCCCCTTATCTCCCCACCTTCCCCTACCCTTCTGGTATCGCTATACTGGTTCCTATTCCTGGATTCCATGTGTCCTGAGTTACTGTCTCTTATCTGTATCTGTGTACATGCTCCAGTCTAGTCCGAAGTGAGAAGCAGCACTGGGGTCATGATAGTGGGGGGTGAGAGAGCCTCAAGGAACCAGAGGGATACTGTGTGTTTCATCAGTTCTTTACTGTGCCCTATTTGACTCATTCCTTCCCCGTGAGCCCTCTGTGGAGGGATGTTCCATTGTCTATAGATGGACTTTGTGTTTCTGCTCTGACCCCCTTCATTCAATATGTTTTTATTTGTTTGTTTGCTATGGGTCTTGTGATGTGTGTTACCTGATCCCGATGACCCCTAATGATTGCACTGGCTGGTGTGTTTCTTCCATGCACATATACTTATAGGTTAAGTATTAAGGCAGCAGACAGACCATACCAAAAAGAACTAGTAGTCAATCAACCATTTTGAGAGATAGCTTATGATCAAGAACCAATGGTGGTGAAGGAAGAAGTCCAAGCTGAACAGAAAGCATTGGCTATAAACAAGGCTTCAAGGAATTGAAGGAATACCAAATGAAATGTTTCAAGAGGCTGCTGAAGCCCTGATGTACTCACTACTCTATGGCAAGGAATTTGGAAGATAGCCACCTCATTTATTGACCAGAAGAAATCTATATTTGTATCCATTCCAAACAAAGGTTATCCAACAGAATTTGATTAGAACAATATAATATCATTCATATTACATACACATAAAATGTTGCTGACATCATCCAATATTGCTTGTAGTAGTGCATTGACAGGGAACTGTCTGAGGTATAGTCTGGATTCAGAAGAAGATATGGAACAAAGCATCAGATGGATCTTGAGGAATATATTTACTTGTGTTTCGTTGACTATGCCAAGGCATTCCACTGTGTGGATCATAAAAACTATGGAAAACTGTGTGAAGAATGGGAATTCTGGAGCGCTTTATTGTGCTCATTTGGAACTTGTTTATGGATCAAGAGGCAGATATACAGACAGAACAGGGGGGGTATTTCATGGCTTACAATCAATAAAGATCTGTGTATCCTGTCATCATAATTATTCAATATGAATGCTGAGCAAATAACTAAGAAGAGGGATTATATATAGAAGAATGTGACATCAGGATTGGAGGAAGACTTATTAACAACCTGCCATATGTAGGTGACACAACCTTGGTTGCTGAAAGGAAGGCAGATTTGAAGCACTTGCTGATGAAGATAAGGGATTGGAGCCTTCAGTATTTATTACTATTCGGGGTAAAAAACAACAACAACCCCAAATCTTCACAACTGTACCAGTAGGTAACATCTCTATAAATGGAGAAAAGGTTTAAGTTTTCAAAGATTTCATCTTGCTTTGATCCACAATCAATGCTCATGGAAGCAACAGCCAAGAGATCAAATAAGGCATTACAATGGGCATTTCTGCAGAAGACCTCCCTAAGTGTTGAAAAGAAAGGATGTTTGACAATTCATGAATCACTTCCTTTGGCCATGTGATCAGGGGAGATGAATCTCCGGAGGAGGACACTGTGCTAAAGAAAGCAGAGGGACAGTGAAAAAGAGGAAGACCCTCAACAAGACGGATGCTCCAGTGGCTGAAACAATGGCATCGACAGAGGAACAACTGTGTGAGAATGGTGCCAGACTGCGTGACGTTTTGTTCTGTGACAGACAGGGTCTCTGTGAAGTCAGAAGTCACTTGAAGATGCGTAACAACGGCTACAGAGTATAATGGACGACTGAACATTTTCCTCTTGAGAGCAGTAACTAAACAAGGATGTCTGCTTTGGGGACTTCTATTCTACATTATACAGGGGTGCTAGTCAGTGCAACCAGATAATGATCAGATATGTAAAATTTGTGAACCCTGTAAACAAAATTAAAAGTGATTACTAAAATGGAATCACATAATTTAAAGTGCAAATGTATATTATTCCAAATCTTCATAGAAAATATAAAAAACATTTTAGAAACATACCCAAATGTGTTGAAAGCAACTCAAAAGAAGATTCACAAATAAACAAGTTAGAAAATTTCATTATAAACATGAATTATTTTAATGTTTATGCTGATAACATGGATCAAGCATGAGGTGATATTACTAGGCCTACAATTAGTCACCATGTCTAATGAGCACCCCAGCCCTATACTTTGATTCGTGGCACAAGTGTCCATTAAAATTAAGTAGAGCTTCCTTGCATTGTAAACAACTTCGGCATCTTGATTTTCTTAGATAGCAAAGATTATCTTTGAAGACACCTATAGGAGCAATGCTAAGAACATGAAGACATTTCTAGGATATCCCCACTAGAAATGTGGTAAAAATAGTCTAAACATTAGAGAATGATAACTATTGTCTGTTACAGGAGAAAAATAAAAGATAAGCAAACATACTTTAAATTCAATATTTTAACAAAATTGTTATATAGTGATGCATGCATGACTTCATGTAAAAAGACCAACATATTTAGATGATAACAGATAGCATATTCTAAATATGTATACCTATGTGTATCTGTCAAAAATAAGCTGACTAAAATAATAATTTAGAATTGTAGACAATTGTTTATTCACATAGAAAGTTTTCAAAGATGTTTGGTAAGTGAAAAGCAGTCCACAAAACTGACTGTAGTGGCATTACTTATGTAGCCACATATTTATTGGAATAAGTATTATAAAACAGCAAGTGAGAGGTGTGTGTATACACACATGAACATTAAAAAGAATAGGCAGTAGTTGTCGTACCAATGATTCCTTTTTTCTTTACAGCAATTTAGATCTGAAACTATTTAATATTGTTAAAAGTTGACTTGTAGCGTATTGAATTTAGTCAGTCAGCTGGCAAGATATCATTATTTTACCAAGAATTTCTGGTTTTTAGGAAATTATTAATTAGTTGTGCTACTTTTCTTTCCTGTAGGAATTACAAACGAAAGTTAAAGTATACAAAGTCAAAAGTAGTTGTCTCAAATAGGATAGTGCTTTGCATGGTATTGTTACAGTTGCATATTTACAACTTCACCCTTTAGAGAACGCTTAGCAGTTGCAGCAGCTGACCCACAGCCACCTCACGAAGTGTGTTGGAAATCATGAAAAATGGAGAAAGTTCCTCTTCAAGCAGTTCAAGTTAGAGATCAAAGGCCACCTTACCTTCCTGTCACTCTCTTCTCGGCTTCTCCGCCTTTGCTCCTCGATTTTAGCTTCTCTTTTAGCGTCTTCTCCAATCTTCGTCAGCAGTAGCATCTCTTTTTCCTTCCATTCCTAGACAGTACAACATTACTGTATTCAGTGTGCATTTTCTTTCAAGATAGGTTTGTCATTTATCTACCACCAACAAACAAAATCGGATCAAGGCAAAGACCTAACAAAAATCAGGACAAGCTGACTTTGGAAAGGTAGGCACTGTGTTCAAAATGGGCTTTTCTCAATGCATTGCTACTGCTATTATTTTACTAAAGCTACATTTTACAACTTTAAGAGCAGAAATTGGTTCAGCTACATAGTTTCAACTACCAGTCCTGTTATTTAATACAACTTGTATAACTGTGATAAAAAAATGAATGAAGGTAAATTCTTTAGCCCTGAAATAACTTCAAGAAACTTCAAGGAGAACTGTAAATTATGGACAAGTGAAAACACTAATGAAAACATGTCCTCTTAATATTTTAAACTTGTGAACTCCGACCTCTTCAATTTTCCTCCGGAGATTAAGTTTGCGTCTCGCGTGCTCCCGTTGTCTTCTCTCTTCTTTGTCCCTTTGGAGCAGGCGTCGCTCCTCTGCTGTGCGCTCCAGTAGTTCCAACTCCTTCCTTATCATGTCCAGGTATCTGAGGAGAAGGCAAAATTAGCAAAGGAGAATCGGATGTTTTTCTTATCATTCCAGTAACGTCTTTGATATTCTTAAAAGACCTCTTTGCTTGTGATATTTTTAAAAATTTCTTATGCTACACACAGGAAAATCAGTTTTAAAAATCTGTCATATCTCTCTGTACTTTAAAGTTTAATTGGTTAACCAACTCATCAAATTTCTACTTATTAAACAGGTTATTAAGCTATTTAAGAAGGAAAAGGTGCTACTGAGTCAGTTGGACTCATCACGTCCCATCTCTGTTATTCATTTATCTGTTGTTATGGCCAAAGTAATGATAAAAAAGTATTTTACATAATAAATATCCATAACTGAGTAAAGATACTTATTATGTATCAAAATTCCAAAATACGTTTATATTTTATTGATCATGCCAGGGCGTTCCCATGTGTGGATCATAAACTATGGATAGCGTTAGGAGGAATGAGAGTCCCTGTATACTTCATTGTGTGCATGTGGGCCCTGTTCATAAGAGAAGCAGTCATATGAACAGAACAAGAGACGGCTGCATGGCTTAACATTTTGAAAGGTGTGTGTCTGGATTAAATCCTTCCATGAAACTTATTCAGTCTGTATGCTAAGCAAATAATCCCAGAAGCTGAACTATAGGAAGAACTTGGCATCAGGATTGCAGGAAGACTAATTAACAACTTGTGATAGGCCAGTGACATAACCTTGCTTGCTGAAAGTGAAAAGGACATTAGGATCAAGGGTTTATCCTTTCGGAATGGAATATAACTCAAGAAAAAGAGAACCCAGTGCCTCCAAACAGGCCCAAAGGACAACATCCTGATAAGCAGAGAAAAAATGAAAGTTGTCAAAGATTTTATTTTGTCTGTATCCATAATCATTGTTATGAGAACAGTAATCAACCACATACCGCATTGGGTAAATCTGCTGCACAAGACCTCTTTTTAAAGTGTTGAAGGTCAAGGATGGCACTTTGAAGCTCAAGGTGAGCCTGATCTAAACCATGGTATTTTCACTAGCCACATATGTATATTAAAGTTGGACAATGAATAAGGAAGATCAAAGCAGCAATGACATATTTGAATTAGGGTGTTGGCAAAAAATATTGATATTACCATGGACTGCCAGAAGAGAAAGCAAATCTCTTTTGGAAGAAATAGATATAGGACTTCTCTTTAGAAGCCAGGGACAAGGGAAAATAAGTGAACCCTAAACAATGGAGAGAAGGTGACAGGATGCCTAGTGGGCCTTAATCAAGGGCAATGTAGCAGCGAGGAATTACTAAACCAGAATGAAGGCTGAATGTGATGGTGGGACAAGAAGAAAGTAAAAAGAAATAGAGGAAAGAACCAGGAGGCAAAGGACATTTATAGAGGACTAAATACAGGCATGTACATATGTAGATAAATATATAATGAGAAAGGAATAGAACTATGTACTCATATCTATATGTTAAGAATTAAGGTTGCAGATGGACATTGGGCCTCGACTCAAGTACTCCCTTAAAATAAGAACACTTTGTTCTAACAATCCAGTATTCTGTGATGCTCACCTTCCCAATACAGTCACTGAAGAGAAAATGGGTGCATAAGCAAATGTGGTGAAGAAACCTGATGGTGCCACGCTATCAAAAGATATAGCATATGGAATCTTAAAGGCTTGAATATAAACAAGCGGCCATCTAGCTCAGAAGCAACAAAACCCACGTAGAAGAAGCACACCAGCCTGTGTGATCATGAGGTGTTGATGGGATCAGATAACAGTCATCTAAGACCCAGAACAAAACCATACCCAAGGTGAATGGTGGGGGCGGGGAGGGGCTAGGGGCTAGGAGTGGAGACCCAATGCCATCTGTAGATAATTGGACATCCCCTCACAGAGGGGACACAGGGAAGAGATGAGCCAGTCAGGTACAGTATAGCACCGATGAAACACACAACTTTCCTCTACTTCTTTGGTGCTAACTTCCCTCCACTATCATGTCCTCAATTCTCTCTTACAAATCAGATTGGACCAGAGCAGGTACACTGCTACAAACAAGAGCCTGAAACACAGGGAATCCAGGATAGATAAACCCCTCAGGGCCAACAAGGAAAATAGAGATACCAGGAGGATTAGGGCATGGTGTGGGCGAGGGGGAGAAAGTGGGAACTGATCACAAGGATCAAACCATAACTTCCTCCCAAGGGGACGAATAATGGAAAAGCGGGTTAGGGGCAATAGAGGATGATGTAAGATATGGAAATAATATATAACTTATCAAGGGTTCATGAGGGAGGGTGGGTGGGGGAGGGAGGGGGCAGAAATGGGGAGCTGATATCGGGCTCAAGTGGGAAGAGAATGCTTTGAAAATTTTAATGGCGGCATATGTGCAAATGTGCTTGACACACTGGATGAATGTATGGATTGTGATAAGAGGTGTAAAAGCCCCCAATACAAGTATTGAAGAAGCAGCAGCAGCAGCAGCAGCAACCAGGGTCGTTAGACTTTGTCTCAGCTACTTTGAACATGTTTTCAGAAAAGATCAGTCCCTGGAAAAGGACAATTAGAAGGCCAATAAAAAATGATGAAGACTGTGAAGGAAACGGATTGACCCAGTGGCTACAAACATCAGCGACTCAAACTTGGGAAACATGATGAAGACAGTTCAGGGCTGAACCATGTTTCGTTCTACTGTACATAAGATCGCTGTGAGTTGGAACGGACTCAAAGACATCAAGAACAACAACTTAACTCAGTGGGTTTAGGAATAGTTATCAAAAGCAAAAACAAAGTAAACGGATGACTTCAAATATAAAATGCACATACAACATGCACAAAAAACAAACTGAAAATTTCTAAGAGGCATTTGAATGATGCTGTTGGCTAAGAATATTGAAAATACCACAGACTGCCAAAGAACAAATGGATCTGTCTGGGAAGAAGGACAAGTGGAATGCTCCTTAGAAACGAGGATGGCCGGCCTTGTCTCACTTACTTTGGACGTGCTCTCAGGAGAGATAGGTCCCCAGAGAAGGACATGATGCTTCAGAAAGTGGCGGGGCAGTGAAAAAGAGCAAAACCTTAAAAAAGGTGGATTGACGGGTGGCTGCAACAATGGACTCAAACATAAGAACAAGTGTGAGGATGCCACAGGACTGGGCGGGGTTTTGTTCTCTTGTGATATTCTTTTGTGGTTGCTTAGAGAAGGATCTGAATCAACCACACCTCACAACAACAGTGACAAAGTTAGCTACTGCGCTTCTCTGTACTTTAGAAATTCTAGCCACCTCTGCCATCTATGTCTAAATCTCTTGTGGGTAAGTGTAGATTATAACATTATAGTAACGAAGCCTTATCCTTCGCCACCTATCAACAACCTTTTAATTTCTTAAGAAATTAGCTTGATTACAAACATGCTCAAGGATCTCAGTTCTTGGAGACAAGACAGTTTACACTTGCACAAGCTAAAGCTGTATCAGATAATTTTTTCTGACCTCACACTAAACTAACTTCCTCAAATTTAATACCGTCAGACCTTAAAGATTAAAAACAAAAACAAAACTCTGCTTTTCTTGAGGCATGTGCTAAAGACACTTCCCTACCTTTTCTCCTGTGGGAAAAATGCCTTCCATCTGATTTTTCCCTCAGTCGTTAATTTGACGTACCTCTTGAGTTCCCAAAGGCCTTGACATCTGTGGTAAAAACTGCCCTTTCTATATTTATCAACAAAGCTTCACTTTCTTTATCTACTGGCTTCCCCTCCTTCAGCTCTCCACTTTGAGATAGAAGGATATAAGGGAATAAATAGTGCCTTGTACTCTTTGAATCTGGTTTTCCACTTTTTCTTGTATTTCCCTAACAGATTTGGTTTGCAGGACATGCATAAAAGACACATTGGCATTGATCTTACCTGTGCCTTATTAATCGCTCGTGGTCCTTAAAAGAATAGGCTCTTTCCTGTAGCAGCCAGTTTTGGAACTGTTCAGCATGACAGCATTCAGAGAGGTGACAATTTTCCTGCAGTTTATTTAGTCGTTTTGTAAGCATTTTCTAATAAGAAATAAAAAATACATGTGTATGTCTGTATATCTTTTTAAAAGAAAATAAGAAAAAGAAAAAGTGTCTTTGATATGCCCTTTTTATATTTAGAGTTTAACAAAATTCAAATAATCTATAAATGATTATTTCTGTTAAACTGTCTTTAAGTTTATTTGTAATCAATTCCAGACCAATTAGACTCAGATTAATAGTTCTTTCTTTGAAAATAAAAATTACTTAGTTTACCTTTCTAGCCATTCTGGAGAAACAAAATATAGGATAAATGGAAGAGAAAAATCTTAAGTATAGACCAGGGTAAATTTGGGATGTGTAGAATATTTTTAAAGTATAGTACAGACAAAGAGTGAAAGATGGTGTCTTAGACAGACATGCTACATTGACGTCCCCCTCTTCAACAAAGATGGACAGAAACTAGATGAGGAAGACAAAGAGGAATGAACAGTAGGTGAGTTGAACCTGAACAGAGAGAATTTGAGGGTGGAGCAGTGAATTCAGCTAAAGTGAGGAATGATTCCTGGATTACCTGAATAGGAGAGAGGCGAGTCACCCTGGTGCCCCACAACAGCCACCAAGTGAACAGAGGAACGCTAGGAGTTCAATGTAATCCACCCAGATGATGGGTGCACCCCTCCCACCACAGACCAGGTTTGTTTGTAGGCACGAAAGGCAAGGCAAATCTGAGGAGACCGCAGTACAGCACAGAAGGCAAATGTAAAACAGGCTGACTCAGACCATATTTTCAGTGATGCCTTCCGGCCCCAAGGGGGATATGACCCATAGGCTCTCCTTTAATGCACCCAAACCAAGGTGGTTTCCACCAGATGGCCATAGCTTCCCCATGGTTCCAGGGAAGTGAAGGAAGGGCAGCAATAGCCTGGAGCTAAAGAGGAAAGACCGCCCCCATCCCTTGCTTTTCATCTTGCTTTGCCCCCTTCATCTTGATTTTTCCTCCTTCTGTAAATTTCCCCCTTTCTTCCCTTGTCTGGCCGGCACATACAGAAACAATTGTAAGAGATGTAGCTATTCGTGGAGTTCCTTGGTTAGTCCTCAATTTACTGAGGTTCCAGCTGAAAATCTTGCTGTCACAGTAGACTTTCCCCATTCATCCCAGCTCATGTAGAAATACATCTGAGTAACTATTTATTGACTGAATTAGGCCAGTTATCATTAGCATGTTAATAGATGACCTGGTCCCATTTCTCTTCTCGGTTCAACATAATGACCTCTAAAGAGCCCTGGCAGTGCTGTGAGCCGGGCATTGGGTTGTTAAGAACAGATTTGGTGTTTCAAACCGATCAGCCACTTTGAGGAAGATGATGTGCCTGTCTGTGACTGTAAAAATTACATTCTGGGAGACCCTATAGAGAGTCACTAAGAGTCAGAACCAATGATGGCAGTGATTTTTGCTTTAGAAATAACCCTTGGAGAGCAGTCAATTAAGTGGTGAGCTGCTCAATGCAAGGCTGATGGTTCAAACCTAACAGCCACTCTGCAAGTAAAAGACCAAGTATTAAGTGTTTAATTGTTCTATTAAAGCTTATATCCTTGAAAGCCCTATAGTTCTCTGTTCTATAAGGTCAAGATGAGTTGGAATGTGCTCAGTTACATTCCAACTAAATTGAAGTAAATAGCGTTTATTCTTGCTCTAAAATTGAAAAGAAAAGAAATCTTAAATATTTAACTTACTTGCTCTCTAGAATAGTTTCTTTCAAAGTCTAATTTTAAACTGGTAAGATATTGCCTATACTTATTCCATTCCTTCAAGGAACATACAATCTAAAACAAAACAAAAATGCATGAATGGACATCTTTAAACATTATTGAAATTACTTCCCAATAGAAAAATGGAAAAATTTTGATGTTCATTTGGTATGAAAAGTAATAACACATTTTGATAACAATTTCTAAGCAATATCTATATAAAACTTAATCAGAAGGAATTTTCTATCTTGATAGTAATCCTTAATTAATATGGCTTATACCATACTAAGGGATTTCATAAGCAGAAATTGGTACTAAAATAAAATATTAATGCAATAATAATACTTAATCCCCCAAAGTGTGTATTATATCACATTGCATATTTTGCTAGGTTTCCATTTTGCCTCAATTTAAAAAAATTGGATATAAACTTTGATGTATGTGTGTCCCCACTAGAGACAGAAAAAGAAGTGTATGATATAGCTGGAAAGATTATTATATAATCTTTAAATATTCATTATATAATCATCTAACATTATCAAAGAGAAAGTAGTTTCATTCAGAAATGAGTTGCCTAATTTCCTTGACCCAGACACTAATTACTTTTTGGAATTTCCATTTAAATATTCTCCCATGACCAACTCAAAGGTGAGAGAGACATTGCCCCTGGTGAGGTACAGAGGCAAGTTTACATGGATTCTTGACGGTTTGCACTGATTAGCAAGAAGTCATTTTCAACCTACTTTATTATTGCTGGTGATATAGCCACCTTTCTTCAGCCTCCTCAGGATATCTTTTCGTTTGTAGTATTCCCTTAAATGTGGATCATGGAGATTTTTATACTGGTTTTCCAAAAGTCGACAATAAGGATCTGTCAGGTTAAAATCATAAGAAGGTCGAAAAAGCTGCAAAAATGTAAAAAAATATATATAAATACACAATTATTTCTGATTTTTAAATACCACTCATTGAAGTGACTCGAATGTTCATTAAAAATAAAGCATTCGAGGAGAGTTTGAACTAACAACATAAAGATATCAGTTGAACAAAGTGAACTGTCTCTTTCCCTGTATCGCCCTTATTTGGAAGACCCAACCTTACTCAATTAATTCCTTACTTGATCCTCATTATCCCCTGGCTAGAAATAATAAAGGAACAGAAGAAGGTATAACTTTTTGAAGATAGAGAACCAATGCTAGGTAGAACTGGATCATGGTAGTGCGGGGAGGTAGCATTCAGGAAACAGAGGAATGATGTGTGTTTTGTCAGTGCAAAGTGAGTTTTTATAATGTGAAGTTTTGTCCATTTCTCAAAAGAAAGATGATGATGATAAAGGTTTATGGGAATATCTCTGGGGGGAAAAAAGAGGGGGTGGGGGTGGGAGACAGGAGTAGCGATCCAAGTTGTCTTAATGTTGCTTTTGTATCCTTTCTTTTCAAGTTTGCTTAGCCAGTAAAAAAATTGAAATCTAAGTCCCAAACAATTTCAAAACAGGAACTGGCTCAGGTGAACTACAGTAGGAATAGGTGAGGATGTTTACAGCCATCTAACCCAACGTGTACGATCACACAACACTTCACACCAAACTAGACCTGCCTCCAGGTTCCAGTCTGTGGCTTTTGTATTCATTCTTGCTACAACCATAACCTCAGTCCAATTCCAGAACAGATATATTAGACTGTGTTGCAGGGCCCTTGCAAAGTAGATGCTTTGTATGTGAGCAAAGGGGCAGGTGATAAGATCCAGATAGGATCCCGCTTTTCCTTTTCCATATAAACATTTCCTTGGCAAATTTCTTAGAAACCAAAATCAAGATATCGATTATCAAAAATTTCTAGAGGAGCTAGAAAGATATTACATAGGGCAATGTCTTAATTTAGTGACAGATTGTATCATTCTACTACATAGAAAATCCTTGGCTTTCAAAAGAAAAACAATAAAAAGCATAAGGAGATAAGTAGTACATCATCTCTTTTAGATGTCCATTTTAGCTGTTTTGTTTTTCTTTTATAGATGTTGACTTTATGGTAAGACAGGCATAGTTTTCTCAAAATCAAACCTGAGCTACTGACCTTTTAACAAAGACACTCACTACACAGCCAAGTGTAGGCCTCTGTTGTTAATTAAAAAACTGGTTACCCTTAAAACAAACAAACAAACAACTAATCTTAAAACAGCAGCTGTAAAGTAGGACTTCATTGAGATTATGCTGAAAGAAAACAATCTCAAAAAGTCAGTCTTCAAGGAAATAGTGGGTTGTATTATGGTTAAAGGAATATATTTTTCAGCTTGGTTTAATGTAATGATTAGTAGAGAGAACATATAAAAAAGCAGTTCACACACAAATGTTTTACAGAGAAGAGAAAATCCCATTACAGCAAGCAATATATTTGAGGAACAGTCAAAATATGAATACATTTACACACTAAAAAGGAGCACAATCAATAGTAATGAACTAGCTTTCAAGCATGTTTTAGGAAAATGGTGTGGAGGTGTGACAGTAAATTGTGTAAGGCTGGTTAATTTTTAGTTAGCTTGCACTATTCTAATTATATTGGTTTTCAAAAAGAGAAACTGTATTTTAGCAGCAGCAAAACACATTTCAAGAAATGATATTTATCAGGCCAATCACATCTGATCCCATTTTGTACTCCTCTCTGATGACATCATAGAGAGCGTACGGAAGGGTAAAGGGATCCCTTAGAATTCTTTTTTTGTAGAAGTTGTGTGATTAAAGTAACTACTCCACCTCCTGTTGCCATTGAGTCGATCTCAACGTACAGCGGCTCTTTCGGACAGAGTACAACTGCCCCAGAGGGTTTCCAACGCTGTTCTCTTTGTAGAAGCTGTCTGCCACAGCTTTCTCCTGTGTAGGAGCAGTCAAGTGTTAACTTCAATCTACCCTAGCTGTTCATCAAGACAATGAAACCTCCGTCAGGACTGATCACTTAGCCAAAGAGGCTGGGGGCAAGTAGGTTGATGACTAAAATCATGAACAAGTTTGAGAGAAGTACTAGTACACATATAAACTACAGTACAACCTTGTGTGAACAAGTGTTGAGTGAGATGCTCCAAACTCAGAGTAAAGAGACTTAGGAAAGAGTTCACAGAGGGTCTTGAAGGGCAGGCCAAATCCATAGATGAAGAAGAAGAAAGGGTATGCCAAGGTTTGAGAGACAAAAGACATCCAGAAGTATCCCCCTGGTACATGCGGGTGGGTATTAAAGCCCAGAACCTCTGGGTTGGAGAGAAGACTGGATGGGGAAGTTGGAGCAATTTTAGAGGAAATCCAAAGGGGCAGAAAATGAAGTTCCCTAAAGCCTTAACTTTGTGTGTGAAATTGAATTTGGTTCAAAACCAAATCAGAACAAAATGTTTTGTAATGAGAGCTATTTTGGGTTGATATTGTGGCATAAGTAAATGCCAGCCACGACTGTTAACTTATCTTTCAATCAAACATATTTCTAAATAAATCGAAGTTCACTAAATGATATAAAGTTTGATTTAAAAAAAACATAACTTAGCTTTCTTAAATTATAAAATAAAAGACAAGACTGAAAGTGTGAACTTTCTGGCCCATGATTCTACCCATACCATACAAGATGAACACGTTGAAACGTGATTGCAATGCTGCTTTAGGTTAAATGTGGGTTTGCTTGTTTTCCAGTCACTATTAAACGCAAATTCCACTACAGGGTTTTTCACGATTTACCCTCTCAATTTCACAGCTATGAGAAGTAGGTCAAGAAAAGTGGGGTATGTTAATTAGACAGCCCTGTACCTTTTCACATAAACCCGTCGTATAGAATACAGTGTTGCTTCCTGGGATCACAGGCAACTTGACCCCCAGTGGGAGATCCAATAGCTGAGCAGCTCCGATCCCTGGCAAATGAGTTTTGTGCGCACCCTGTCAGATATAATGGGAGAGATTCTGTCATTTCTGAGGAATTACATTCGTTTAGGCCAATAGCAGTGTATTTATTCTCACTTCAAAGGGCTGATACCTTCCAATAAAACTCAAAACTCAACCTTCCAGGCCATGGGATCTATGCCCTTGGGGCTGTCTGAGCCTGGAATGGGTCAGGGGAGCAGAAGCCCAGCCTTTCCCTGCGCGGAGCTGCTGCTTCCTTGCCCATGGCATAACCACTTCACCACCAGGGCCCATTTCACCAAACCTAGCGGCAGAGACTCGGGATGGAAGGAGCCTGCCCTCTCTCCGGGGACACCTGGAGGTCTCCTGCTCCAGGGTGGCCACCAGCTCTTCCCTGGGCGGTCCAGAGCCAGTTCTAACTGTGCCGCCCGCGCCGCCGCTCGAGGGCGCGAGGATCCTGACGGTTGACACTGGTTCCCGTCTAAGGTGGGCTCCATCCCGCCCGCCTGGGCAGCGAGCCTCCCTGGGCTGCCACTCACGTCTCCGCACTGCTGGCTGTCTGCAGCTAGCATGGTGGCCGTCTTGTGGGCTGCGGTGTCTGCGACCTTGGAGCAAGAGCTGAGGTACAGCTCCATGACTGGCCCGGTCCCTCCAGCTCCGCGCCCCCAGGCCCCGTCCGCCAGCCCGGCCCGGGCCCAATGACCAGTGCCAGTGTGCTGTGCGCGCCGCGCCCTCTGCTGCGTTCCACCCGCTGCGTTCCACGTTCGGAAAGGTGGGGCTCCGGGGCCTGCGGTTGATCACCACGCAGTCCCCTCATTGGAGGCAGTCCGCGGTGGGGGCCTTCTTCCCCCTAGAAACTTCTATGCCTCCTTAAAACCCCATGGGATTGAGCTTGGTGGGTGAGAAGCAGTCTGATCCCTGTGGGTCTCTGAGGAAGGCGAATTCCCTTCACAGAGCAGCCATGGGTGGCTGTATGGAATTCTACGGCGGGAGACCTGGCTTTCTGACTTATCTTGAAGACACTGAGCGCAGTGGATCTGTTACAGGCTCGGTGGCTTCCTCCTGACCCCTCTCTTGCTTTCCTTTCTCCCTGTCTTTTCTCTGGACTGCTGCCGCCTCAGTGATGCCTTCCTTTCTCTCTCTCATTGCCCTCTTCCTCCTCTGCTTCAGCCGGATACAGTGCCCGCCGCCGCCGCCTCCTCCGGATCAAAAGGATAAAGCATGAAAAGGGCCCTGCCTTCAGAGAGCTCATTAGATTAAGTACTTTGAATGGAGACTGTCAGTAGTTTGGGTTTAACCCTCCAGATTCCTTGACCTTCTCGGTTATTTCTTGACCAGTTAGTAAATACATTTTCTGAGAATTTGCAAACTCCAGGTGCTATGTTAAGCACATCAGTTAATCATTATAATTCATCGCCCTCACTTCTGAGAAGCATTCCAACTGTACTTCTTCCAAGAAAAAAAATGGCAGTCCATGGTCCTTTCAGTATTCTTTGCCAGCACCATAATTCAATTGAATCGATTTATTCAATGCCCGGCTTTCATACGCCCATGAGGAAGTTGAAAATACCACGGCTTGGGTCAGGCACACCTTGGTTCTTAGAGTGGTATCTTTGCTCTTTAATCATGTAAAGAGGTCACCCGTGATAGAGTTGTTTAATGCCGTGGTTCTCAACCTGTGGGTCGCGACCCCTTGGGGGTCGAAGGACCCTCTCACGGGGATCGTCTGATTCATATCAGTAGCAAAATTACAATTGGGAAGTGGCAATGAAAATCATTTTTTGGTGGGGCGTCACCACAACATGAGGAACTATTCAAGGGACCCGGCTTTGGGAATGTTGAGAACCACTGGCTTAAGGCAATATACCATCTGATTTCTCGACTGTTGTTTCCAAAAATATTGATTGTGGATCTAAGCAAGATGTAATTTCTGGATGACGTCAGTCTTCTTTCTGTTGTTATCTACAGATCCAGCTTTGAGAAGTGTGGTTTTCTTTACCAGGAGCTGGAATCCATACTGGGGGCTGCCATCCTTGTGTTCAAAAGCAAGTCCTCCCCATTTTCATCCAGCCAGATTGTGTCATCTACATGTCTCTGCTTATTAATAACCTGCCTCTGATCATGCTCCTCTGATCCTTCTTCTTCATATAACCTCGCTTCTCTGATTGTTTGCCTAGCACAAAGATTGACTATATATGGTGAAAGGATACTATATATGGTGAAAAGATGCACACCTTTCTTGATTTTAAACCAGGCAGTTTTCCTTTGTCCTGTTTAAAGGACTTCCTTTTGATCCAATACTAAGTAATAGCAAATGCTATGGCAGAAGAGAAAGGCAATCTACAATTAGGTGAGACCAACACAATCGCTCTAAAAGAAGATGTGGATAGGTGCCCAAGAGTTATAGACAACAAAGGTAAATCCTGAATTATCAATAATAAGCATTAATCCACAAGTGGGTACATAAGCAGACTGGCAAAATGGACTTGTATTTGTAGGCAAAAGGGACTACAACCACTAACAAGTATATCTGTTATAAAGTATTTCTAAATATCTATCTGTATGTGCTAGAAATATGTCCACGTATATAGAGAAAATAAGGCACAAAAGTGTGCCAACTATTTAGTCTGAGGGGGATATTGGGTGTCAAGCTCAGTTAGCATATCAAAATCTACAAAGTTCTACCATCTACATTGGTGTGTAGTGGGAGTCTTTAAAACTTGAAGGAGGTCAGCCACAGTTCAACTATTAGTCTTTCCTCATCTAGAGCCAGGCAGCGTGAAAAAACCAAAGACACATAGGAAAAACCAGTCCAAAGGACAACTGGGTCATATGGACCTCCACATTCATGACCTTGAGACCGAAAAACTAGACAGTGCCTGGCTATCACTGCTGACCACTTTGAATGGGATCATACTAGGGAGTCCTCTACAGATTAAGAAAAAACATTGAGCACTCTCAAATTAATAATAAAGAAATAAATAACCAAATTTACTGATTGCTAGAGATTGGTTGAACCCATGAAACCTTCTTCAGGCCTGGAACTGAACTCACCTCTGTGCTCAACTTTCAAACCACAAGCAGCCTGTATGATGAACAGTACCATTGGGGAAAAATAAACTCAGGGCAATCAATCATACAACATCAAAAGAGCAGCAATGGTCCAGGAATAAATCTCAAAGGCAAAGATGATCGGAAGGACAATGGAAACAATAATCATAGGAAAGAAGTGAGAAGAGTGCTGTCACATTATTGAAGCTACAGTTAATACCATGAGCCCAAATATGTAAGGATTATTGAATGGAACGCCAACTTGTTCTGTGAACTTCCCCTCAAATCACACTAAGAAAGGTAAAAAGAAGCAAGCAACAACAACAAATAGCCTGTTGTGTTATTTGTGCTACAGCAGCATAATAAGCTAAGGCAATATGTGTATATGTGTATATATACAACTGTGTACATGTGTGTTTTTCCTCTAGTTTCCAAAGGTGACATCTTTGCCAATTATTTCACTACTGCATCCCAGTCCATTGCTATTGAAGTAATTTTGCGTCATAGTGACCTTCTAGGACAGAACGGAACTTCCTTACAGGGCTTCTGCCACTGTCATCTTTATGAAAATAGGCTGCCACACCATTCTCCCCTGGAGTGTCTGGTGGGTTCAACTGCTGAGTTTTGAGTTCATATCTGAGTGTTTAGCCATTGTACCACCACAGCGTTGTTCACTATGACACAGTATCATTTACATTTTTCCAGCTTCCTTTTAGGGTTTTCTCACAGGTTTTCCATTTGTGAGGTGAAGACAACTATGGGATTTTTGTTATGAGTTATTGAGAAGAGATTATAACTGAAGCTAACGAATGAGGTCATCACTTGGCCATCGAGTTGTTGTACTATAGTGGCTTGTACGCTACTGGGATGCTGGAACCTATGTGACTGGTATTTCATCCCAAGTGAACCGACTTCAGAAGAACTTCCAGAATTATGAAGGAAAAACAGACTGCGTACTCTGGAAGATTAAACGCTGAAATCCATGTGGAGAGCAATCGAACACTGTCCCTTACTGAAGGCCTAATGAATAGCAGCAGAACATTGTCAGAAACTGTTCCAGGAGATAAGCCGCTCAGGTTGGGGAGCACTCAGATTTGGCTGCGGAAGAGTAAAGCGGACAGTAATGATGCAGATGCAGGAAAGTCTGCAGGAGGAAAGCTACAAGATCTTCATTTGCTTCTTAGGCACAATTCAAAATGAGATTAAACAGCTGCAAGCATCAATTAATAATCAGAACTTGGAATGCATGAATTATAGATAAATGAAAAATGAAATGGAACTCATAAAAAACAATATTCTAGGTGTTAGTGAGCTGAAATGGACTGCTATTGGCTGTTTTGACTCAGAAAATCATATGGTTTACTAGGCTGAGAATGATATAATCAAGAGAAATGGCTTTCAATTCATTCTCAAAAGGTACATTTCAAATCTATCTTGAAGTACAATCTTATTATGATAGGATTTTATCATCTGGATTCAAGGAAATCCAATAAAAATAATTATTATTCAAATGTATGCACCAACCACTAAAGCTAGTGATGTAGAAATTGAAGAATTCTACCAACAAGAACGTTTTCACTCAGAAGTTGTTCAAACATGCTATCAAAATGCCTTGATAATTATTAGCGATTGGAATGCAAAGTTGGAAACATAAAGGAAGAAACAGTAATTGGAAAATATGGTCTTGATGATAGATATAAACTTGCGATCACATGATAGAATTTTGGAAGACCAACAACTTGTTCATGGCAAATACCTTTCTTGTTAACAACATGGGTAGTGACAGTTCCCATGGACTTCTCCAGATGGAATATGCAGAAATCAAGCTGCCTACATCAATGGGAAGAAATGATGCTCAATATTAGCAGCTAAAAGGAGGGTAGGGGATGATGGTGGAACAGAACACCAACTGCTCATATTTAAGTTTAGCTTGAAACTGAAGAAAATGCAAACAAATCCAAGAAAGCCAACACACAACCTAGAGTATATTCTTGAATTTTGAGAACATATGAGGAACATGTTTGCTATATTGAACATTAATGACAGAGACATCATGAGCTCTGGGATGACATGAAGAACATCATTTATGAAGAAAGGAGGTCACTAAAAAGATAGTAAAGAGAGATGATAAAAGTGGATGTCAGAAGAGACTCTGAAACTTGCTCTTCATCATAGAGCAGCTAGGGACATTGGTGGGTCAATGGTAGAATGCTTGTCTCCTATCATAGAGTAGCTAAAGCAAATAGAAGAAATGATGAAATCAGAATTGAAGAGAAAATATCAAAGAGCTGCTCAGGAAGACAAGGTCAAATATAATAATAAAATGTTCTAAGACCTAGAGTTAAAAAACCAAAAAGGAGGAAAACATTCAGCACATTTTAAACTGAAAGAACAAAAGAAAAAAATCAAACCTGGAGTTGCAATATTGAAAGAGCCTATGGACAAAATATTGATTAATGCAGGACACATAAAAAGAAAATGAAAAGAATACATAGAGTCATCATGCACCAAAGAGAATTTGTCAATATTCTAACATTTCAGGAAGTAGCATATGAGCAATATTCAATGATACTGAAGGAATAAG